CCCCCCCCCCCCCCCCCCCCCACCCAGGCCTGCTAACTACTGCAAAGGAGGCTGAGAGAGTGGCAGTTCCTACTTCCTTGTGTTTTTGGGGGAGAAAGGGTGAGGAACTTACTTGCCCCCTTTCCACCCTTCTGTGGCTGTGGAAGTTGAAAGCTGAAGCAGCCAGAGATGGAGTCCTTACAGAGGCTTCTTCAGAAGACCATCTTGTTGTGGTAGAAGAAGGAACAGTTAGCTTTCCAGCAAGGAGTTTGAACAACATGGAGGAAGTTAGTAGACCAGGATGTTTGTTGAACCTCAAACAATATAGGCCTGCCCAAGTCTAAAATTATTGCCCCCATTAAGGTTAATCAGCTTGGTTAATTAGCTGGATTTTGGAATGTGTATAACACACTGCCTGCCCCATCCCCATGACCCAGTCATGTCTTATGATCACAGCCTTTTGAAGAATGCCAGATTAAGAAAGGCTGTAATAAAATAACTGTTATCAACTTTAACAATTGAAATATCAAGTCTAATATAAAATACAGGAATTCTATAATTATGTTTGGCCAGTTTATATCTAATTATTCCCTACTTTAGTCCAGAGACTTCAATGGGTCCACTGTACCCCAGCAATATTACTGTTTACTGAAAGTTTATTTTCATATACTTAAGGGATTAAAGGCACAGCTAAGGAAAATAAGAGAAGTAGTTAGGTAATTAAAAGTATTACTGATCACCAAAGGAAGTGTTTTTTCCCCAATAATGCAGCAGCATAATTAATAGTGATTGTCTACTTTTTATTTTATTTTCTGTAATTTCAGATTGGAGGACAAAATGAGAAAGAGCAGAGGTAGCAAGAAATAATGAGTTCCAGAATGAGAATGGATCTTTAAATATAATTTCTCCTGCCAGTAATTTGGAACTTAAAATTATATTGGAATACAAAGGCCTATTATTGCACCACAGTGCTATTTGGAACAAAGTTTTGATGGTTCTTTTCAATATGAAGTTGAATTTAATGTTAATTTCATACAAGTTCAGCTTTTGACCCTGGAACTACCTTAGTCACTCCAATGGATAACCTGTGGCAAGAGAAAGGTAGAGGGAGTAAAAAATTATTATTTTGCTCTCTATGGATTGCCTGCCTGCTAGGCATCTCTTTCATTAAGATCTAAGAGGTGATGTCGGGGAACCTACAGTAAATTTGAGTTTATGGTATCTTGACTCCCCAGTGAATCAAAAGTCTTAGCCCTTGCCCTTACTAGCAGGCATATTGTTGATCAGCCCAAATCTATCTCTAAAACTAAATTTCTGTTCAGTCCAGCCACAAAATACATGCACAATCTGTGGTCAACGTACAAGGACTTTCTCCATGGAATTTCCCAATGTTGAAAGCAAAGGTCATATAAATCAATGGGCCCTTTTATTTTGTTTGCCTCTATTCCCCCCCCCCCCCATGTAGCCATGAGTAGCAGCTGCTCATTTAATTTGATTTGTATATTTTCCCCAAAACATACAGCTTTTGGAGTATTAAAAAACTACTGAATTTGTTCTTTTCTCAAAGCTCAGTTTCGGAGGAATCCCAGTCCCAGGAAAACCAGGAACTTTTCTGAAGAAAAATTTCCATGGCTGCATTGAGAACCTATATTACAACGGAGTCAATATCATTGACCTAGCCAAAAGACGGAAGCCACAGATCCACACAGTGGTAAGAACTTAAAAACACTTTTTTTAAAAAACTTTTTGTTTTCCTAAAAAATTTTTGTTGACAGAGTTGCTCACCCTATGAAGCAAAAGTCTCTTAGGTTAGGGAAGTTATTTGCTTCTTCAAAAAAAGGTTATAAAGACTGGGACAGGTCAAGCAGAGAGTTAAAAAAGAACACAAGGGTGCATTTGGAAGTTTCAGCAATCTGGTTTAAGTATGCCTTAAGTATGCCTTAAATATAAAAAGGTGAGAATCTGAAACACTTTTTGAAAATGAATATTCAGTTTTTGTTTCCTAGGCCATCCTGGAACTAAGGGCATCTACAGGAGTGGGGGGTGGGGGGTGGG